TATCTTAAAATGGGTAAATTAATTTCGATGCTCACAATTAATGATTGCTGACTTACGCTTAACAACGTCAGCAGGCTTACATTCTAATTCCACTTACGCTTTTATTTTAATGCCAGTTTTCGTATATTTTCTGTAATCTATATCAGTCGACCTTGGGCTTTATATTGGATCCACTGGACGATCGCCTAGGTAGCGTGCATTCTCCCAGGTCTATGCGTCCAAGAAAAAAAAAACGACATGCTTTCATATTCTGCTTTTTCTCCATTGTACTACTATGTACTGCACTATGCACATACAAAATAAATTTTGCAAATATTAACCTTCCTTTTTAAAACTCCGCCCTCATGCCGTCGTTGCCTCTCTTAGTCTTCTTTCAAATTTGTCTTGTAAAGACGGGAAGCGCTTTGATGTGCCAACTATGGACTAAAAAGCTTTTACTCTGTGAAGCTGTCAATTGAAATGAAAGCTTCCCAAGTCGGATAAAAAAAGCTTTTTGACGAAATTTTCAATCTCCTTGCAAACCGGGTTTTCCTACTCATACCCGTACTCCTTCTTCAACATCTGTCAATGTGAAATCGATCGATTTAAAAAGCAACAATAAATAATTTCTTGTGGTTACTCATCCGTTTTTGGAAGACCGAAACGAAAAACAATTGATGAAGAATGTCAGCTTAACTTTTCTACATACGTGATGGAAAATATACATATTTTATATGAAGGCATCGCACATTTCTTCGGTACATATACTTATAAATTTCACTTTAGGGTCACCTGTATGCCACCTTAGTTATCCTTTTGTCTAAAAGGTAAAATGCCAGGCGACTGTAAATGCAAAACAACATTTGCCGTTCTATGAACCGACAACTAAACGTCTATAATCTTTTTTAGCGAGTATAGGCTTTCGTTTGCATTGACTGAACTGCAAACCCTTTCATGGCCATGTTGAGAATTTTAGATTGCTTTTCTACTTTCTCCTTCCTAATACCGCACGTACCGAACATGTAAATGTTTATGCAACTATGTATGTATGGATTTCCACAAATCTTTATGCGTTCCGCAGCATGCTTGCATCGCTTGGGTCAAAAATTTTCCGCTCAACGTACGCGTTCAACAACATGTGCTTGTCATGCTTATACTAATTTCATGAGGCTGTATAGTGCATGCATCATTAATAGCATGTAAATATTAATTTTTTTTTAAATTTTTACTTCCAGCTTCTTTTAATATTTTTATCATGTGCTTTGGTTCAACAAAACATCAACAGGTGAGTTTTACTTGAGATGTTTATGAATTTGTATGAAAATTTCGCAAAAGGCCTAAAAAAAGGACTGATTCATAACACAAAATCTGACATGTCCCGATTAAAACTTTAAAACTTTAACATACACCTTTTTCTTTGTCTATCCTTATTTTCATTTTTTCGTAATTTGGGCGTTTTTTTATTTCGAAAATAAAAAACTTGGCATCAATTCGAACTACCAATGTACAATTCTATATAACTATCCGGACTACGTCGAAATGTTTGTAGATTTTAGAGTGACATGGAGACATCTATATAGACTTCCAGGCAATAAAGAGAAGGCTATGTGTAAGAGAAGCGGGAGAAACGGTATTTTTTTAGAAAACGCTAATTTTGAAATGCTCCGAAATGTTAGCCCGCAGCGTTACGGTACATTGAAAAGTTGGATTGATTTACAATTGCACGCAAAGTTTTACGACCTACTTTAATTTCATCTTAGCTACATATTGACGGAGAAATTTACAAACAAAAATATATTTCTGACTTCATCTATATGTGACTTGTATAAAAACATTATTTAAATTAAGTAGGAAATGAATCAAATAGTGTGTTAAGGACAGACATACAGACTATTGGTTGCTTCAAGCCACTTATGAACCGAAATGTACAAATGTTCATGTATCGAACAGGTAGTTACGAAGCGAAAAACTAAGACACCCTTGACAAAAATATTTTAAATATCTACAAAGGAAAGAGCAAATAATAAATCAATTAAAATAAAGCAAACATCATCGTTACAATAACGAAACAAAACAAAACAAAAGAAAACAAAACTAAAATCAAAATAAACGCAGATAAGAAAGATTACAGCAAAATGACTAATGCATACGTATGCATGCATGCATGCATGCATGAATGAGAATGTAAACAGCTCATGGAAAACGCGCATGTGCCCAAAATGTCAAATGCTTTCGCAAATAAAGCGAACAACAGCTGGTGCATAAACAGCGCATGAAGTTTAACTGCATATGCTGCTTAGGAGTCTCCAAGCTTTAAAAATGAACCGATAAGGCTGGTGTAACCAGCTCTCCTTTCATCGTCTGCAAACGTGCCTCAAATATGCCCATAATTGATATTTTAATAATTTAGAAGAATCAGTGGTTTTCCTACTCTTTTTTAATGGTTAAAGGGTTAATCGTTCGATTACTAACAAAGGCAGTAACAGAAGTTTGCATTTTCAATTAGCCAATAAGTCAATAGTATCGCTTCTGTCGAACGTAAAACCCAATAAATAAACATTAGACTCTCATGTGCAAATAAATAAATTTCATTTTAATTATTAACAACAAAATATAAAAAAGTAAGGCAAACAATGAACATTAAACTTTATTGCCAGTTCATGCTGTTTAGCACTTTTTAAGCTTTACTCATATTCGTAAAACGTAACAATAAATCTAACTGATGTGACGTTAAACTTAGTGTAAATATTCCAGCAGATTATTTATTAGACAACGCCTTTATGGGCTGATGTTGATTGATTTTGACACTCAGTATAACAAACGTTTTTATCGCTAAAGAAAACAAGCATTATGTTATAATAGGGTGCGTGTGTGAAGTTCATCGTCACAAACGCAGTAACAATTCATAGTTCGTTCTCCGTTCTATTACCTTTACTACAATATTCATAGAATGCAATAAAACAAGATACATTTTTCATTTTCGCAAAACTCCAACGAAAGAAAGCAAATGTTCGCGATCGCTTAAATGGAAATAGAATGCTGCAGATTGGCGCAGGTGTACCTAACTTAGATCCACAGATCAAGTTTCACAACGAATGAAATTCGCTCACAAACATGCAAAGTTGAAGCACTTTACAAGGTGTGGCATATATCGGTCTAGAATTTTGCTCACATTATTTTAAAGTTCACAATGCGACGAATACTGTTTTTCTAATGGGGGTTTTTTTCAAGTAGTTCGTAGCGTGTAAACACATGTGGAAAAAGAAAAGACAACAAGAGATTTTGAGAAAAAACACTTTGTCGTTACAATTAAAAAACTATTAGTTTACTCAAAACAAAATCGTTCATATATTTTTCTTGGTTATTGAGGAAACGTGTTGCCACAAGCACATATTTCTAGGCTAGACTGTATTCATTTGCAGTGTCGGCCTGTTTACTTCAACATATGAGGACTCAAGCATGGACGGAGAGTATGTTGGGTAGTAGAATATACAGTGAAATTAAATAGACAACGTGCTCTTCGAAATTAGGAGAAAGTAGAAGGTCAGTCTCAGGCACAAACTGTCCGAAAGCAAGTTTGAAAAGTCGCCGCCTTCGTTCTTGAACAGGACAAATTTTTCGTGTAGACCTAGGGTATGCCTTTCGCCTTTCGCCTTTCGCCTTCTAGCTGAGTTTGCTGCAGTAATCATTTTGCATTTATTGCAAGTTTGACTTTACAGTCAAGTCATATGAGCGGACAGGATAGCATACCCTACTTGAATGTGTCGCTACGCTACTGATCTGCATGAACATAATGCAATATTGCAAACCCAGCAGAAACGGGATTTGTAGCCACAATAATAAAATGTCAATGTTTAATTATTTCCCTAATTTGCATTGCAAGCGAAATTGTTCCGAAAGAAATCTCAAAGAGAATGCTTAAGTCATCATCGCCAGATTATTAATAGAAAAGCGCAGTTAAGAATATTGAATACAAAACTTAATTTTATTGCTATTATAAAAGAGCTTTATTCGCTTGATAAGCAAGAACAAGCCATAAAGAATGTTTATAAAAAGCAGTTCATTAACATTAGCATACAGTAATTACTTCAATATTATCATTTCATAAAAAGGGCATTGTTGGTTAAGCAGTGTCACCAAATTATCGAGATATTAAATTTTTTCAATGCCCTAAGGAATTCAAGAATTCAAAAAGTTGATTAATTAAAAGATGAGAATGAGGTGAGCTTACAGATAATGACAAGAGTAGATCGGAATGACAAATGTCTTAGCGAAAGCTAGTCTTGCATTAAAAAAAAATAATCTAACATGGTCTGACTGCGAGTCCTAATTTCTTTTCTTTTTCGGAGGATAGTTGCTGCACGCTATGCAGATATATTTACATATATGGGTCTTATACATGTATATGAGAAAAATTCAAGTCAGATAAATTATAGGATGCGAAAAAGGTGTAATCTGATTACTGGAACATCACACGATCGAAATAATCTGTTAGGTTTTTTGAAATAATGGGTAAAGTTTAAAATATCAAAGTGCCGAACAAGACGCTCTGCAGTGGTGTAAAATTTCGACTTGAATTGTTTTGTCTCTAACCAGCGCGCAAGCTGCTCAAATGTCAGCATGTTAAGGATTTTCATAAACAGAGAATAGCGAGTAGAGTTAAGCGGGATTGAGAGCGAGAGAGAGAGAGCGCGCACTAGAGAATTTTGACAATACACTTTTATAAACAAAAAGAGAGTGAGACTGGGATTAAGAATACGTCTGCCTATTGAAGAAGGGTGTGAGTTTCATTTATGTATTCACTGTAAACTTTTTATTTTCATAGAAGTAGATAAGAAACTATCAGTGCTTCACTGGATTACATATTATAATATTTGTAAGGTTTTTTTCAAAAAAGGAAAAAGTTATATAAAATGAATTTCATGAATTTATTCATCATAGATTGTTAACGAAATTTTTACAATTGCAGTCGAATAATGATAACATTAGTAACGGTAAAAGTAGATTTTCCAAATATTTACCTTTAGAAAAATTTTACATTAATTGCACTGCATGCATGTCATATCAGTAATTATGACTGCGCAATTGTAAACAATTAAAACTGTTGGCTTGCAAACTTTCAACTTTCAACTTTCAAACGGTGAAATTGATTTTTGATAACCATCAACTTCTTAGCATTTTCCCAGCTAAATACACAATACCGATATAGGTTTCAATTTTCAACTTTTCCTTAGGACTGATTAATTTTTAAGTTGTAATGTAATTATCAAATTTTTTATCAATTCTTCATTTATTTATTTGCCTCATGAATTTCACCTCTTTTTCTGAATTTTTATTTTTTCATTCTCTTTCCATTTCTTTTCTTTTTTCAATTTAAAAGTTTTGTTTTTGTTTTAAAACTATGCCTCGGTGGGGAGACAACTACATACGTAAAAAAAAAACGGGAGCCAAAAATTGATTATAACGCGCGCACACACGCACACACACATACACACACATACACAAATACATGTACTTTCTCTGGTTTAGGAACACTATCCATTAGAAAGCTCTTAATCAACGTTTTGATTTTATTTACTAAAATTCTGGTCTCTCTCGTCTCGATGAGGATTTGGAGAGATAGACCGAATTAAAGAAGAACTTGTATAGGATTCACAATTATTAGCATTACGTTCCGCGTAAAGGAAAATGCAAAATATATTTTATATTCGTGACCAACAAAAAAATAATAGAAAAAAAAATGTTCAATTTCAAAGAGATCATATTAATATTAACAAAAATATAACAAACAAACACATACACATATATATATATATATATTTATATATCTATATATATATACATATAGATAGATAGATAGATATATATATACATATATAATAAATGCATATACGAATTACTACCGGGACACGAAAGCAGTTCACTACTGCTAGCGAGCAAGTGTCGATAACAACTAAAACAACTGCTTGTACCTCCATTGCACGCTTGTGTGCTTGGTCAAAAAGTGCCTGCTCGTTTCGCTGACATACTAACATACCTATAAAACTACCTACAGATTTGTTCAGTTAGCTGACGAGTAACGATGATGATGATGATGCCCTGTGCAGTGATGTTATTTTAGCTTATAACAAGATACAAATTATGCTATACCTGGCTTAGGTCGCCAGTCATTCAACATAGTACATCTTAAATATCTTATAGGCAATGCGTATTTGGTTTTCTGTACGACTTGGCAGCACTTTATACATTTTTGTTGAAACCCGCCAATAAGCGGACACATTTCGGCTTATTCAAACATGTATGTTCGACTATATTAACTGAAACTTGACTGTTTTTTTCCTTTGAATCGGAGAATATGGTGTATCTGCTTGCCGCTGACGACGCACTAATGGACCTACTTAGCTGATTTAACAATTTCAATTTTTCTAAAGTGGTAAGAAATATTGAAAACTGGGCAATGTTTCAAAACGATAATCCTTACCTTATTTATTCGGACAGACAACAACCACAGATGGTAGTTAGATAGATCAATTTCACTATTAACGGTGGTCAACACGATGCTTGTACTTCATAGCTATGAAGACTGCCGATTTCTATATTATACGTAAATTTAATACACCACCCTGATGGGTACAACCATAGCCATACATTCACTAAGCATATACAAGATTCTACTTTTGTTATTATACGCTTTCGGTTGGGTCAATATTTTCATTTTGTTATAATATCTCTCGCCTCCGCCGCACATCCAACCACCTCAATAGCTCTTTGCGAGTTTCCCGTTTGTTTTTTTCTTTTGTATGTTTGTTATTATTTTTTAACTCGATTTCCAGTTTACTCATCTCCTACATTTTCCTCTCTCTTGTTCGTCTCTCTTACTCAGCTTAAAGCTCATCCTAAAAGAATTGCAAGAATTGCTTTGTGTGTGCTTTGTGTTCTATTGCATTCAATTCGAGAGCGCTGCTTCCTTGCATTCTTCAATACGCTCGTGTAAATACTCTCTGCTTTTTTGGTTTTCCGCTCGTTATCCGCATATGTTATTGTTTTAATTCATTAAATGCATGATGTCTTGTTGACTTTTCAAAACGGCTCTCACTTTCCCATTTAATGTGAAAGTGATGGGATTCTTTTAAAAGCGCAGAAGAAGCATTTCGTTACCGCGTAAATATTTGCGAAGCTATGAACTTTTTGCTAAAAGCACTCCTTCTCGTTTACTGACAGTTACACTTGTCGCTTGAATTCAATCTCAATTGTTACGGTCACAAGCTTTTTGTGTAAGCGTTTGGAAGATGTTTACGCTTTGCTTTGACTTTTATACGCACTACTACATAATATTAGAAGTTTTAAAATAAAAATTTTTTTTTTAAAAATTTGGACACAGCCTGAGATTTTCTTAAATAAAAGGATATACACGTATGGATAGAAGAAGCGAAATGAATATTATAGTTTCGATCAGCTCAATATATATTATAGAAGGCGGATCACACTTACTTTCATCGCCATTATTGTCTTTACATCCCGAAAATAATTAATTATGTGGTACCTTTCACATAGAGGAGACATATTTTCATTAAAAGACAAATGTCTGTCTGTTATACGTGCTAGAAGAATTTCCTCTTTCCGTATATATATTCTTTCCATTATTGTATATATATATATATATATATAATAAGAAGGATTTGAATCGACTGCACCTACTGTAAAAATATTCATTAAGGCAAAGTCGTAGATGTGATGCAAGACATGAAAAGCAAAGCTGGCCGTATAATAATCATATTAATCACATAACCGTAAACTATTAACCGTAAAAATTTATGAAAGCTTTTAAATTTTCATATAAAAATTTAATTATTGCAATTATGAAACTTTTCATGCCTTGAATACAGGAAAAACACTCTAAGATATAAAACACATATAACTGTCAAATGAAATATATGCAAATATATGTACGGACGTACATGCATTAACAGATAAGTGGGTCTAGGTCGATGCCGTACATTGACAGCCGCTACCCCGCAAATATCCGCTTGCTCCTCTTCTACAAAGCATTAGCAATTTTATTAATCATTATTTCAATTTCCGACAAAGCAATAAATTTTCTACCAACTCTGCAAATAGTTGTTGCGTGGACGCAATGTGCACTCACCGTAAAAATAAAATATTATACAAGTAAGTGATGGTTGTTTTTTTTTTTACATTTTGTAAAGTATTTTCCAAAACGCATTTACTAAATTTAAGTGCAAGCAAAAAATGAAAATGCGCTTATTTTGTTTTTGCGAATTTGTGCCAAACGTTTATTAAATTATGCAAAGAAAAGTGATAAAATGAAATAAAAATTAAAAAAAATAAATCAAAGCATCAATTATTTTTGGTCGGGGACCGACATTTTACATTTTACCTAGCGATCTAATCTAATTTCAGTGCCAATGATGAATAAGAAAAATATTTGTTTTCATTCGTCTAAAAACATAAACAATAATTGACTTGGGGCAAATCTTTTAACGTTTACCACCAGAGGCGTATCCAATTTTTTGAGGGATTAGAAATGGGATTAAAATCCAAAACCTACGAATGCTCCAAAAGGCATATCCTGTTAGCTCTTTTAAATTTTAACTCCACGCTAAAATTTCTAAGGATCTGAAGAAGAGCGCCAATCGATTTCAATAAAATGTGAACAAATACACGCACATGTATATGATCATTGCTAAGAAATTACCCGTTACTCCGTAAAATAACGAAGTTGCCATCGTCTTGTTGTTGTGGAATCGATGCAAATGGTCATGCAGGAAAGGCCATGCAAACTAGCCGATATATCGTATATCTCTCTCAAAAATCATAGCCTCCGCTGCTCCTCAGGTTTTTTCCGTCTTGTTTCACGGACCTTGACATTTCCTTGCTTGTCGGCTGAAGCAGCATTCGGGTTAATAAAGGGGCAATGTGAAGAGTACTTTTCCCGCAGAGAGGATTTTATGGAAAATTTACTTATCACCTTAAGCGGTAAACCTTCAGGTTTCGAACCAAACAAACGTATTTCGAGAACATTAACGATAACGTCTATATTATTTTTGATCGATCCGTGAACGCAATTCCATATCATTTTCAATTTTTATACCACTTTTAAGTATAAACTGCATTTATTCTGAAAGGAGCTAGAAAATGGAAATGATTACCTCCGTCTGTTTATATCAGTTGTCTAATCCAACCGAAGAATATCGATCTAAATCGAGCTACAAAGAACTCAGGAATCACACATATCTTTACCATAGCGTTCTTGTAGTTTGGTTGCTTCGCGTGTGCTTAGCGCGTTCCGTTTTTGTGAAATTTAGACTGGTATGTTGACCGCATACATATATTGCATATGGCTTCGTATTTACGTACAAGCAATGTTAGATAAATTGTTTGATTCTTAAATATTAATTGGAAGTAACACGAGAAACACTGTTGATAAGGTCAATACAGGTATACGAGTTGCAACACTTCCTCAGTATGTTTACCCTTGTAGCGTAAACGAGCATAGTTCCTCCGCTTCTAAATTTATTTCAATTGAATTTAGGAAAATTTATTTATACAAGAAGAAAGAAATGAGTGATGAATGGCAACAGATTTGCTCGAGGTAAAGTCTTTTCTTACCATTACTTATTGTTAGTCTTTAGTTTTAATGCGATCACATTGTTATAATGATGGTGTGACTTACAGTACTTACACGGTAACGTCTGTGCATTTGGTAAGAAGTAACATGTACTGAAGTCTCAGCTCATTCGGAAACTAACTAACGAGACGTGCAAATGATGATACATACGTTACATTGACACAGCTAACAACGTAAGCAATGCTAGAAGTTTTCCACGATTCAACATCAGACGATAGAACGCCAGATAGGCGAGCAGACATATGGAAAAGACTAAAGGTAGATCAATTCGTAGTCTCATGCTCATGATCCGTAGTCATCTACAATGTTACAAATAGATGGGGAAATATAACGCACTTCTTTCCATGATGATCTATATAAAAAAAATAAATAAATAAAAAAAAGAGTTGAGCAAGAAACCACTCTAGATGCACTTATGTGTACATAGATTGGCATGTGCGGAAGTACATGCATGTATGCGTGCGTACACTGATGTTTATTGCACTTAAAGAAAATTTTTAACAAAATTTACATCTTTTTATCAATTGCCGAAGAATGGAAATAACAAACTCTGCCATTGCCTGCCTTTGTCATGGCACGCATAGCATGAACAAACAAGTTTGCATATTTAATAAATTAAGGGCGAATATATTTCGAGA